TTTTCAAACACTTCCATGGCACTCTGAATCAGTTCATCTCGGTTTTCTAAGTAATGTTTCATGTCAGGACTACAGAAGAATATAGACTTTTGGGCGAGAGTAGAAACAGCTATCTCCGGTTTGCCCGAGAAAGAGCAAAAGTTCACCATATGTCCCTTAGGCTTTAAGCAGGCTAAGCATTCCTACAATGAAAAATTTTATTAGTCAGAATAAAAGAAAAGTCAGTAGCGAAGTCAAGTAGTGAAAGTGGCAAATACCTTGAAATCATCATGCCCTATAGGATCATAAACCACATCACAGCCCCTCCCCAAAGAAATTTGAATGACACTCTCTGCAAATTTTCTTTGATCATCAATTGGAATCACATGCTTACATTTAGCACCCTTTGCTGCTTTAACCATCTTCTCTAATAACAGTGAATCTGTGGAAGGGGGCACAGTCCAAATAACGGTAGCTCCTAAATTAGAGGCCCACTGTGTGAGAAAATACCCACACAAAGTGCCACCTCCTGCATGAACTAGTACAATGTGTCCGCTTTTGACCTAGAAAGTAATGCCATTATTAATTTATGTGGCACCAGAAGCAAGTGGAAAATGTTGAAAAAAATAATTAGAACAATGAGATTCAGTTCAATATATTTATTAAAATTTATTATTTTTAAATTCAATTTAAAAAAAAAAGTTATTAAAATTCATGTTTTTAAGGTAGAAAGTGTGTCAATTATTTTTTAAAAAAATTAGAAGAGAGAAAGTTTATTGGCTACCTTGAACACCTGGGTAACCAGGTAGCGAGCCATCATAGCGAGCTGTGTATAGGCAGATGCAAAAATTGGATCAACTTCTGGTGGGAGTATAATTACTTTGTCAGATGGAACATTTCTTTCTTCAATACATGATCCGTGAGGTTCCGAGCTAGCATAATATACTAGATTTCCAACTTTTAAATGAGTTACTCCTGTTCCCACAGCCTTTACTATTCCAACCGAGTCCCAACCTATAATTGAAGCTCAGTTGATAAAAAAGAAGAAAACTTTAATTGAATATAGAAATATGGGTTTTTATTTTGCACCCTAATATGGACTGCAAAATAAGTTACTTTAAACATTATCATCATCTTTAACATTAATCACTCACCTGGGATATAGGGCAAAGGTAGATCATAGTCCTTCCCAAGACCACGACGCAAAAGAGTGTCGAACGCACAAACCTTGGCAGCTTTGAGTTTCAGGCAAATTTCACCCTCCATAGGCTCTGAGGTTTCAACATCATCAAGCTTCAAAATCTGTATTTTGAAACAAAGTAGTGGGCATTTAAATGAAAGTTACAAGAAGCAGATATTGCTTAATTACCTACCATATATGTAAAATATACGCACTTGTTACACTAGTTACAAATAGAAATGCACCTTCCCCTTGTACTTCCTAGGGTTTGAATCAGTTATGTTGTGAGAAAAGCCTTTATCTCTGAAAGGTTTTTTCAAAATAAATTATTTCTGATATATCAATTGTTAAAAGTTAAAACAAGATCTTATTATAATTTTTTTCTCTTTTTCTCTCTCTCTTTATATATATATATATATATATAACATAGGAAATTTGTGGGGAAAGAGGTATTTTTCAAATACTTTATGGGAGTTAAAATCCTTACTTCTCAAACTCCAATTTCATAGATTTTGGAGGGTGGAAAATTGGCTTCTACTATCATTTTTCTTGTGCAACTTATAAAACATAGAAAGTGGTAGTACTGACTAACCTTTGGTCCACCAAATTTATGGACCCTGATAGCTTTCACTGTCCTGGGTTGTTGGGCTATTCGTTCAGACGTTTCATCAATCTGCTTTCGCTTTTTGTTGGGCTTTGGGTCAGACGTATCACTGATCTGCTTTCCCCTTTTCTTGGTTTTGTTTCTCAAAGCCTGTGGTCAGCATAAGAATTTACATACTACTTAATCTATTGCATTATTATATTAGTAATTACTAATAAAAAATATGAAAATCAGGATGTTATGACAGCAGGAAGTCCATTACAACTGTCAAATAAGTAGATCTAAGATTAGGGCTCATAAACCAATTATTGTGATGGACATCTTGAACGTCAAAATGTTTTGATTTTCCATAACTCCCTTATTAATTAATAGTTATATAGTAACAAAAAAAGGTTTTACAAATATTGTAGTTTGACCTATGAAATTATTAAAATATTTTTAATGAAAATATTTCTTTTGTATTTCTTTAAGGGTGTCTTAATAATTTTATAAATTAAGCTAAACTTTTAATATACAATCCAACCTCTAAAACTTAAATCCTATAAAGTAATTACCAAAAGAAAGATTAATACTTCAACAATTCAAGTTTAGCTGTTTTTTTTTTTTTTAACCAAAAAAAAGAGAAGAAGAAAGAAAGAAAGACAATTAAAGAAAGCTCACTAAGTGTGATTGTTAAAGTGTCAAATCACAACCATAAACCTTAGCCTTCAAAATTTTAACAACTAGACGTGAAATCTGATTAAAGACCGTAGATAATTAGAGCTACATACATATAAGAGCAATAACAATGATGAGTTTTTGCTTACTTCAGCCTCTTAATTTTATTAGATCGAGGATCATAACTAGTCCACATATACAAGGGATTGATCTAATATCGATTTTAGTTTAGTTTAGTTTAGGTTTATTTTTATTTATTTATTTTTTATCAGCAAGTTTAGATTCGATTTTTAACCATAAGCATAACTTATATAAAATTTTAACCATTAATTATGTAATTTATTAGTAGAATTATATATTTTTTTAATCACAAGTAGTCTAAAATTTAATCAATAGTTTTTATATACAAAAAAACAAATACAAATTTTTATATTAATCATTAATTTTATGTTTAAATGTACTACTTATAACATACATATCAAACTTTAATTAATTAAATATATATATTTATTTTAAAATAATATACTATTTAATACCCTTAGACAAATAATATAAAATAATAAAAAAATATTAATAAGTTGGATCTAAAAAAATTATAGAAAAATATTTTAAAACAATGTTATTTAAATAAACTCTAATTAAAATAAATAAACTAAATTAGAATATTTTTAGGGTAAGAATGAAGCCTATATTAGTATTTTTTATGATATTTTAATAGAACATCCTAATTTTGAAGTTTTTTCACCATATTTTTTTTGTGAGTCTAGTGAATAAATATTAATCTCATATAAAATATAGTTTCTTTTTTGATATGGTTACAAATTTTAATGAATTTTAAATTAGCATATCAAATGCAACTATTGAATTGATAAAATATAAATTATACAAACAATTATAACCAATGTAAAATCATTTTTCATACCCAAATAAAATTACTTGTCTTAAGAATTAATTACAAAAAAAGAAGTGGTCCCTTTACTTATCTTCTAAATATTTTCTTTAAATTCAAAATGGTCCTTGTAATTCAAACATAAAAAACAAATTTTGTACTAATTAAAAATTGATGCACTATATTAAACATTTTCTAAAAGTATGGGGGGTGGCTGCCCCACCTTGTCCCAGAATAACTCCGTCCCTGATTGAACCCCACCTTAAAATCCACCTTTAAACTCGTTCAAAAACAACTTAATTTTTACGAGGTATTAACGACATTTATTAAAAAAATTTTGAGATAGATTCCTAATTTTAAGGAGGTATAACTAATGATCATTTTTTCCATAATTCATACTACTTGACCCATGTTAGTTGTGGCATATGTGTCATATTTTTCTACTCCATTTATTTTAAAATAATTAATTTTTTTATTAAAAATTTGTTCAAAATTAATTATCATTTTTTGATCATATTTTGAGGGAAATTTTTTTTTGCTTTAAATTTATCATTAAACTTTGACTTTAATTACCAATACTATTATAAAAAATTCTCTCTTTATTTTATATTTTATAAAAGCAAGAGTCTTTATTTTGTAATTCAAATTGTACCAAAATGCAAAATAGAGATGGTTGGATGGAGGGAACCTCTCACATTCAACGGCTTTTGTTTTGCGATTTAGTGCAATTTAAATTGAAAAATATTTTTTAAAAAGTAATATGGTTAAAAATATAAGTTTTATCCAAATCTTTAATATAAAAAAAATAAAAAATAAATGTCTATTACGAGACAAAGGCATTACTAAGCAACATAAAACAATTAAACATTCGTTCTAAGTAATAGAAATTAAAATGATATTTTAATTAGGTGGAGGAATCTTGCCTCTTCAAACTCGCTCTCGCTCAAGGTGAAAGTCTCGGGCTCGGCCATGAATATTTCAAACTTTCAGTTTTTAACTCTGCAATGTAACTAAATCAAGGATAGAGCTAATCCGGTGAATTGTTTTTACGGTTGTCAAGAGGGAAATTAAATTTATATATATATATATATATGCTTTTTTTTTTTTTTTTTTTGCATCTAATTGTAAGTAATATAAGAAATGATAACTTTTTTTTATTTCAAATTCTTCCTTATTCGATTTAAGATTTAAACTTAAAATTTAAAAAATTTTCAACTATTGAGTTATTCATTAAGTTTATGCAAAAATAATAATAGTATGCATGCATGAAGCATGCATGGTACGTATCAAGGCAAAATGACAAAACTGACCATCCAAACAGGGAGAAAAATAAAACAGAAATAGGACCAAATGTGCTAACTATTTGCTCAGATATATGAGAAACAAAAGCTAAATGATTGTTTGACAGCCGAGAAAGTACTTCCATAAGAGAAACACGTAGAAAATTCACAAATAGGAGATTTAACTTTTCTTTCCTAGCTAACGCATAACAATTAATACACTCACCAGAGTTTGATTAATTTTTTCTTTTGAAAGGTCAAAATATTTTTATTTTTAGAGTACAAGAGGTACTCAACTCATATAACCAAGATTGGATTAATTAACAGTGATTTTACACAAAAAGAACTGCTCATCGATTTGCATGCATTTTCTAGCCAACCAAACAAAAGTCAGAAAGAAACTCAAGAAACAAAAGCCAAGAGCACCAAATTAAAACTAAACTAGTGGTGAAATAGTATTTGAGACGAGAGAGGAGGTCCATTTTATTGACATTTGAATTAGATTTGTGTTCAAATATTCTTTTCTTTAGTCTGTTTTAGTTGTATTATTTAACTTTTGCATAAAATTTGATTTGATGATTTTATTTGACAAATAGAGATGGTAATTGAAAACCTTTTCTTATCGAACATGGTATCTGTTGAATATTTTCACTTAAATAAAAAAAATATTCAATTTTCATTAATTTTTTTATATAAAATCATTAATGTTAATTAACATAAAGTTGATAAAATAAGATATCTGAGAGGGACTAAAGGGAGTAATACATAATTGTAAAAACTGTAAACTTATCTTTAAAATCAAATCTGGCCATATTCAATGTAAAATATATTGTCATTCAAAACTTTTGACGATTAATGAATAAATATCTAATTATATTTTTGGAGAAAAAGTATATAATAAAACACATCTAAAAAATATAATAAATTTAGAAACATGCTAAAAATTTCTACAGTAAATGATAAAATAAAATAAACAAATTTAACTTAATAAAAAAGTTTGAATTAGAGGTGAAATTTTAATATTTGACCAAGAAAAAAAATAGATATTATTAGTAATTAAAATGAATATTTTAAATTAATTTGGGCACTACAAAGATAATGATTTAAGATTTTTTTTAAGAAAGATAGAGAAAAGTTAAAAGTTTAAAAATTTTCTTACCAATTTTTTGGCCAAAAATATTACAAATAAAAGGATCATTTTTATAGTTATAGATTAGATTTAAAGAGTTACCAATTGTTATGTTAACATTTTATTTTAAATTTAATGAAAAAATTTAGAGAAAAAAAAAAGATAATTATTTTTATAAATGTTAAGTATAATTAGGTCAACAAAATAAAATTTAAAGATAAAATTCTTAAAATATAAAATTTGAGAGCTAAATTAAAAACTTTTTTAAAAAGCAGAACCATAGCCCCCGTGTTAAGGTTGCTCCGCTACTGAACTGAACGATAATTAAACAAACTACGTACTCTATGTACTATCAAAAGGTTTGACACAACTAACCTATAAAGAGGGAAAATTTTGACATGTTTTCATGCATTTTCATCTAGCTAGCCTACCAAACACAAGGACAATAAAGAAAAAGGAGATCAGCGTACGTACACTGTAGAGATAAGAAAATCAGAATTAGTCTTCGTCGGAGAAGAAATCAACAACACGGAAGATTCTGCATAAGAAGAAATATATATGAAGAACCAAAAAGAAGTGAGAGAGTTGAACCGTTTGGAAAGAAAGGAGCATGTGAGATTAGAGTAAAGCTTTACCTGTTTGGAGAGCGCGAAAATGCTGGGAAAAATTAATGTTCGGCCATCACCAACACAAGAGGCAGTGCTTATATGAACTGTCAATGTTGATAAAATCTAGGGGTCGTCGCTTTATAAAATTACCCCTTCACCCCTACTTACTACATCAACCACGAATGTCATTTTCTCTCTATCCTAAATTGGGAATGGTAACGGGTCCCCATAAGAGCAGGGACCCTCTTTGGCTCTTTCCATCCAATTCCGGCGTTGTGAAATGAATTTCCACGAAATTTCACGAGTTTCAAAGCAAATTTTTATGCTATCCTAAACGTCTACCCTAAATGTCACCAAAACGCGTTAGTTCAGTTTCTAACGCACGCTGGTCATGATTCACAAGAAAGTTTTATAGTCATCCGTAATACTCTATTTTTTTAGGGTTAAAACCAATTATAGTCCCTCTACTTTCCTTTTTCATTCATTGTCCTCCCTATACTTTGAAATCATTCAAAAACCTCCCTATACTCTCTCAAAGCATATTACTGTTCTCCCTCTACTTTCAATTTTCATATTAGTTACCTCCCTCACCTAACACCATTACTAACACCTTACTAACACTGTTACTACACTAACGTCCGTTAGGTTAGGTTAAAGTCAATTATAGTCCCTTTACTTTTATTTTTCATTCATTGTCCTCCCTATACTTACATTTCGTTCAAAGTCCTCCCTCTACTCTTTCAAACCATACCATAGTCCTTCCTCTATTTTAACTTTTCATTACATTTACCTCCTTCCCTCCCCTAACACCACACTTACACCGTTTATAACTCCCATCTCACATAAATATCTTGGACCGTTAGGTGTGATGGTTTCCTTTTCTTTTTTTGAATTGTGTTTGTGGGCCTCACAAAACAAGGAAAAAAAACTCAAACTTTGTTAATTTAACAAGTATATAGTAATTAGTAATTAACTTCAATATTCTTTAATTTTCAATGCACACAATCATTTAAACAAAACCTCAGTTTTTCTATTTTTATTTGTCTCTTTTCTTGACAATTATTAGAGTGATTTTATTGTCACATTTTATTAGTGTTAATTTCAAATTAAGTTACTCTTTATGATATTTTTTTTTTTTATCTTGAATTACACAAAGAAAGTTAACTTTTCTTTTTTTATCCCTTAACCCACTTTATTCACACGTCATAGGACTCAATCTCATGATTACTTACTTTCAACAAAAGAAAATCATTACTGAATTATTTAAATTGTTGGTTTTTTTTTTCTTTTGACTTTTTTAATCTATTAATATAATTGAAAGTTAATATGAATGATGTTTTTTTTTAAATTTAGACCGTATTTGATTGAGTTATTAAGAAATATATATTTTTTGATGGATCATTATTAAGAAATAATTAATACCTACTTTCTTTAATCAAATGATTTAGGGCATTTAAATTATAAATAATAATAATTGTTAATCATTATATAGAAAATATCATTTATTAGTTATTATTAACACTAAATTAAGGTTTTATTTGACCATGCTTCTTACATTTTTTTAATAGCACTTTGTCTAAAATGTAAATTTATTAATTTTTAATATATTTTCACTAAATTTTATTGATATTTTAAATATTTTTACGATAGTAAAAGACAAAATATCTATGAATATAGTGTACCATTGTCAAACCAA